ATCGAATCCCAAGAGACTATGGATCATACAATAAATCAGACTCAAGTAATTACCGAGCACGTAACTAATCAAGAATTGATATGAATTAACACTAAGAATGCTAAGTTAACGCAATTAAACTAACAAGGATATAAATCAATAGACTAAGACATCCAAGATCAAGCATCACCACGATTATGATCGATAACTAACGAATCTACCCCCAATATACGAATCAATTGATAAGAAGAAAAGCAATCCCTAATAATACCAAAGCTTTCTCCCGAGTTATCAATGACTTCCCAAATTAACAATCAAACCTACTTTCGTGGTGGTCATGCGAATAAGGGACATTAAACACCACGCCTAGATTCCTAATCATTCAATCACCTACTTCCGTGGTGATCGTTAAACCCTTAATTGAAATAACCTAATCCCGAAATCACCCAACTTTCGTTGATCCAATAACAATGGGATAATAACAACACCAATTATTCCTAATCTAGCATTGGCATGAACACAATCAATTAAGCATATCAATTGGGATTATTATTGGGGAATTTAAAGATCCTAATTATACATCAGTCATAATCGGGCTTAGCAAGATCTCGGATTAAGGAAACTACTCACACATAATAACGAAATCAAGAACAAGATTTAATAAAGAAAGCATAATTAGAGAACAATAAATAAATAAAGAGAGAGAAATAAAATAAATACCAATTGCTCTAATTGAAAGAACTCAAATTGTTGATGAACAATTGTCGAATCTAAGAGAAAATTAGAAATGCTTCAAAAATAAACTAGGGCTTAAGAAGTGTTTCTCATACTAGGGAAAAATAATAACTAACTACTTAGAATGTGATTACAATGGGTATTTATACCCTTACTAAGATAAAATCCCGAAACTAATTAAAGTCGGCTAAAATAAGGTGCTGCCCGGTCATATCGGGCGTAGTCTGCCCTATTGGGCGGAGGGAGATTACTCAAAACTCCTGAACGCTGACTTTCCTTCTTTGCCCGGTCAGACAGGGCGAGGACTGCCCGACCGGGCGCGAATGAAAAACTGGAGAAAAGCCTTGAAATCTTCACTCTTCTTTGCCCGGTCTTCCAGGGCGAACCTTGCCCGACTGGGCGAGCTGGGTAAGCTCCAATTCTCACTTAACAAGCCTTCCAAAGATCATGAAAACATGTTCGATCATCCGATAAAGCTCTGGTTCCCTGAAAAACTTCTAAAAACATATCGAACACACTAAAGAAGAGATTGTTAGCGAGAAATGGCTCCGTAGAGCTCAAAATGAGTGTGAATTATCACAATAAAACCGGGGAAGAACATAGTATAAGACGCATATATCACACCCCAAGGCGGCACCCCCAGTCCTACACTCAGCCGTACCAGGAGACCGGCTGACTACTGTCCTAGACTGTCCGGTGGGTGTTGTGGGTGAATCCATTATTCAATGCAATACATACAGATGGTAAAAGCTTAAAAGAGTTGCGAAGGGGAGAGACTGTACCTCGAAGATGTTTCTAAAAGTGAAGAAAACCGCTGACCGGTTATGACTGGCAGGCGGAAATCAGTCAGCTGCTTGAGAAAGGTACAGACGGTTGACCGGATGTACCCACTTGGAAAGCAAGAGAATTTGCTGGAAATAAACCCAAACGGTTCTCGGAAGCCCTGTTTGCTGAGTGCATAGGCGGATGACCGGCTGTAGCTACTTTGAAAGCAAGAGAATTGGTTGGAAGGTGCCCCGACGGTAGTCCGGCTGTATCTAGCTGAAAAAGGAGGCAGTTTTGGAATATACATAGGCGGTTCTGAGGTTTCTTGTTTGTGAGCTACACAGACGGTATACCGGCTGTGTCAGGTGGAAAAAGTAGAAAATTTAATGAAAACAAAGGCAGACGGGATCAGAGCTTCTCTCTAAAAACTTCACTCAAATTTATATATATATATATATATATGTATATATATATATATATATATATGTATATATATATATATATATATGTATATATATATATATATATATATGTATATATACAGTTCACTCGTCTGCATGTGACACCTGTGAGGGGAAAATGTTTTGGGTTTTGGGAAAAAATACCCTAAGGCCACGTGGCCTAATAAGATGGTGATACGTGTCACCCTTAGGGAAGTTCAAAATGAACCTCTCCTCTGCTGACACGTGGCATCCCCAATGATTGGGAAAGAGACGGCCTTCAAGGCCCAATTCCCGAGATAGCCCACAAATCCTAGGTTTTCTTAACCTAGAGAAGTGGCACAAATTCCAAGAACCTATAGGGAGATATTCCCACCAGGGGAGGATATTCAAAAAAAACATTCACTGAAAACAGAGCAATCATTATTTGTAGATATTTAATTCTCCACTGAGAGAATACTCCTAATCTTGGAATCCGAAAAGATACTTTACTTTCCGCACTTTTTACATCATCCGAACACCTTCTAATTTGATCGTTGGAGGCGGAACTCCATCCAATCGGAGTCTCCGTTGTTTAGCAGGTACAGGTGCCTCGAATTATAACTCTCCCGAGGGACACAGAAACCCCAAAATAGACACTATTTTACTATTTGCATGATAATGGGTCATAGAGGAGGGAGAAAGTAGGCCAAAGGAAATTTAAAAGTGATAAATTTTACTATCTCACATATCATTAATGGAGTTCGAATTTATAAAATTATTTTTTTAAGGGAAGATCAATTCATTAATATGAAGCCATACGGCATCTACAAAAGATATCAGATTCGATAAATACAATGAAAATTGAATCAAATAACAATTCTAATTCTGTAGAACTATGATCGCGAGTGAGATATGACATTGATGAATACCCTCGTCTCTTGAATCTCTGTCCTCTACGGCCTTCTTCTACAAGGGGGACTTGCGATTTTTGACAGTTTTTGAATTGAACAAAACCTGATTCAATTAATTGTAGTCGTTGATCTAACAACTGATTCAACGCCGCACGAACCACCACCAAAAAATTAGAACTTTCGATGACAAAAGAGAAATCATATACACCGATCAAGACCATCGTAAGGATGGGATCTTTTATTATAAGTGATTAAAAAGGGATTTTGGGGCTTACCACTGATCAAGGAACCAGTGGTAGCCCTTATCAATAATCACAATGGAGATCAAGGAGAGAAGGATGAAGGAGGAAAAAGGGAAAATGGGAGAAGATTGAAGGAAAACCCCAAAAAAACAGGAAAAACCCTAGCAAAATACTAGGAAAAACACCCTTTTAAGGAGAAACCTAGAGGGAAATCCCTAGCAAAAAACTAGGAAGCAGCATTTAATTTAAAATTTTAATTGATTTGTTTATTATTACTGATATACAAATAAGAACTTATCACATATAAATATACGATTTTGTTGGAATCATTGTAATGTGTGATATTTAAATATCAAATTTTCATAATTTACAATAACTAACGCTTAATAAAGGTATAATTAATTAAACATGCGCTAAGGCCTCACACTATTTAATGCCCCTATATCTAAAATTTAAGATGAAAGTGTAAAATTTTCTTAATGAGCTTAAGTGCTTGATTAATAAGTTGGCAAAATTGGTAAAACATACGTTTCAATGAATTCTATCCTTTGAATAGGTTATGTGTTTGAATCCCTTCCCCAATATTTCTGTGTTTTTTTTAGGTTTTATTTTGTTTTATTTCGTTTTTACCCTGTTTTTTTTCTATTATTTTAATTAGTCTTATTTCGTTTATATCCTTGGATAATTTTCACCTTGGGGCTTAGTTTTTTTTTCATTTTAAAATTTTTACACAAATTCTTATATGTGGCTGGCCAACCATTATAAGGGTTACTTCATTAGTGTAATAGGAGTTACTTGGTCAGTGTTAAAGGGGTCACTTCGTCAGTGTTATAGGGTTACTCGGTCAGTGTTACAGGGATTACTCGGTCCATGTTACATAGGTTACTCGGTCAATGTTACAGAAGTTACTCGGCCACTATTATAGGGGTTAATTTGTTCTTTATAAGTGGCCGCATACAAGACGAACTGATTTTTTTTATGTTAGTGCCCTATGATAATTTTTTCACATTTTTATCTATCATTATTTTAAATTTTAAGGGATATAAGATTTATTACCTATTATTTATTGATGACTGAAAAATGCAAAGTATTTGAGACAATAAAAGTAGCAGGAAACACTTCATATTTTTCAAATGGCACAGGGCTCCAAAAGATATATGCCAATTTTGTGCACTAAATAAGAGATCGCACAAAATACAAGTGAGCATAACTAAAAAGAATGATGGAGTATTTCACAAATAAAACATATTATCAGGAATTGTACTCGTTCTTGAGTAGTCATGTATCATTTTTACGTACCAAACAATCTTAATCATTTATTTAACGTGACTTACATATCGAATCATTTAAGGCGTTTGTAATTGCACTTATTGTAACAAAGTCTGAAATGAAGTCTAAATTTTTTAAAACCCACACTACACGAAAAGAGCAAATTGGCAACGGTTCAAACTCCCCCAAAGGCAACGGTTTTGAACCGTTGCGTATTTGAGGGTTGCCAAATCCCAAAATAATTGGCAACGATTCAAAACCGTTGCCAACTCAAGCAATTGGCAACGGTTAACCGCTGCCAATTGCTTGAGTTGGCAACGGTTAACCGCTGCCAATTGCTTGAGTTGGCAACGGTTAACCGTTGCCAAATACATTGGCGCCCTTTTTTTTTTTTTGCTGCAATATTATTAATATTATGGTCATAGCTTTCTCATTTGCATGGATGGTTTGGCTTAACAGAAGGTTCATCATGACACATGAGTATCATTCTTGTAATCTATCCGATTTATTTTAACTACTAGATAAACATGATAAGAACAGTAGTAGTTCATGAAGTAACCTATTCTCGCTCTAAAAGTCCAATTAAAAAAAATCCAGCACATGCTGGACAGCTAGCTTGCACAATTATTTTATTAATTAATTAGAGATATATATTTTATACAAGTATAGTATACACTTAATATACAATCAGCAAAAGCCTGCTTTCATTGTTACCTAATAACTAAAAACAAAGCAACAAAAGCAAATCTCAGTTGTAATAATAATAATAAAACAAGTTTACTTTTTTTTTGTTTTTTAAAAGGCAAAGGTAGCTTTTCCTTGGTTAATGGTGGATATCACATTGAGGGCATCCGATTCAACCCATACTCGATCATACCCAAATTTGTGAAGAATCGTTAAGGCATATTGCACAGCCATGGCTTCCGCTATTTCCGGGTTTGATTGAATCAGCTTCCTTGTGGTAGTTAGCATCACAAGTTTACTTAAGACTACCATAAGATTTAAATTATTTTCCTCTAAATTAGTGTTGAATAATTTATATCTTCCACCATTTTCCGAGTAGCTGCAACTTTGATTTCAATTCCGAGGCTGCCTTAGGAACCTGCAACAAAATCACCATGCATTAACAACTAATCAACTAGCATGCATTATGCAGTATAAATAAAGCAGGGCAGGTAAAAGGCATATATCTATCAACTTCATTTTACACAACTAGCGCACAACGATTGCATGAGAATATGAGGTACTAAAATATGTTCAGGGTGCAACGTATAGCAGCCCGTATAGTGGTTTGATTAAGTAAATTTCTGGTTCATGGATGAGGTTACAATACCTTCTATGATTGATGTTAATTATAGTGATTTGAACAATCCAACTGATTAGACAAATAATTTGAATTATTGACACGATAATTTGAATGTTTGTAAGGCAATAACACCTATACGGGCTGCTATATGTCCCTTTCCCCACAGTAAGTCTCCAAACTTTCTCTACTCCATCTTAATGCCTGAGTTAGACCAGATTATCACAAGAATCAGCTCAATTGCAGCCAACGGCTTTCTCTAAACCCCATAATCTTCTCAAATCGGAATTCGGGTAACACTAAATATTTATATATTTAGCTAGGTAGCCTATGTAGTGAATAGGAGGCATGATACTACTATTAGGTAGCTTATGTATTTATTAATCATTAAAAATCCTTAACATACCTTTGAACTAATTCAATTGTAAATAGTATACCAAGACAATGACAAAAAAAAAAACCAAATCTCATGACATATAAAATCAATCAAACCACAATCAGATTATAAGAAGTTAAGAACTGACCGCTGATGCTGATGCTGACGCCGGTGATGCTGCTGAAGCCAAATTATCAACACCAGGCAAAGATCCAAGTCCCTGAAATCCATCAGAAGTGGGTTTCCTAACAACTAATCCAGAAACATACAGAAATTCCAATCTTTCTTGTCTCCTAACACATCAAAACAAAAATCATATATTAGCAAATTAAGAACCAAACCCTAAATCAGCCCGGAAACACATTATTAGGAGAAGAATTAGGGTTATGGTTTTCATCGTTTCCAAACTCAGAATCGGTGTTGTTAATGTCAGCACTATTTGGAATTGAAACAGGCTGAAACAGCAACCCAGGCGACGAATTACGAAGGAATTCAATGGAGTATACCTCGAAGATGCTTCAATGGAAGGGCGGCGACGAATTGCGTATGGAAGGGGGGTGCGTATGGCTTCAATGGAAGAGGGAAGCAATGAAGAGGAGTAATGAAGAGGGAAGCAATGAAGAGCATAAGAAGTTCAGAGAAGAGAGAATTGAATGAAGAGCATGCATACCCGATTTTTTTTATTTTTAAGTTGGCAACGGTTAACCGTTGTCAACTCTAACCATTTATTTATTTTTATTTTTTTTTAAATTTTTTTTTAATTGGCAACGGTTAACCGTTGGCAACTCTAACCATTTTTTTTTTTTTTTTTTTAAAAAAAAAAAGATACTCAATTGGCAACGGTTAACCGTTGCCAACTCTGAAATATAAAATGGCGCTCATTTAAGTTGGCAACGGTTTTCATGAACCGTTGCCATAGGGGGGTTGCCTATTTCTTTTTTTCTACTAGTGCCAAGTTAAGAATTGATAAAGAACATGGGTCAGCATGCAACGTTGATGATCAATATCCAAACCGCCCCTACACTTAGGCCTTGTTTGGCAAATGGCTGTTGGCGGTTGATTAGTTCACTTGGCTTGTTTGGCTGTTTATAATGGATTTTGAAATTGGTTGTTTAAGCTTGCTTTTATAAGAGTGTTTGGTAAATTTAGTTGTTGGTTGTTGGCTGTTTATTAGATAATTTGTGGGCCAACAAGCCAAAAGTCAACAAAAAAAAGCTATTCATAGCAACTTTTTCATTTTGGCTTAAAAGCCAGCTTTTTCGTTGAATGAAAAACCAATTACCAAACACTTTTTTGACTGTTTGACTACATAAAAAGTTAAAAGCCAAAAGCTAATAAAAAAATTATTAAAAGTCAATTGCCAAACATGACCTTAATAAATAAATAAATAAAAATAAAAACCTATACTTAAGTGCGTGCCTCAAGAGGATCAGCACTAGGCACGCTGAATCGCCAAATTTCGTAGTACCTTTCTGTTCCAAAATACTCCAGTTAATGATCAATTTCCAAACTTTTCAGCATAATTTACAAGTACCACCAACTTGCCATAAAAATGTTAAAATATCTAACTCCTGCATTTCGACCAGATTCTTCTGAATTATATAATTCTTAACACAGTTACTTACGTGTGTTACATATATTTATAGATTAACTCTAATAATGTTTTTCTTTCAATTAAAAATAATAAACCCCAATAAAAGTTAAACACAACGATTGTATTCAGCAAACACTAAACAGAAGCTCCTGACACTGCATCAGATTATCAGCAGTGAGCAGTACTGCAGTAGTTCCCTAACCAAAATATTCAGTGCCCGTTAATTTATTTTATTTTATTCTTTCATTTCTTTAATAAAGAGTAGTACATACAGTATTATTCTTTGTGGTTTCTATCTACTGCTTGCAAAGTTGCAATAATTTGCGTTCTTGCTAACACTACAAAATTAAAAATTATGTAGGCACTCCAATACTCCCTCTGTCTATATGAGACGTTAGATTTTTTTTCACTATTCATATATTAGCTTTGATCATAATCTTTTATTCACATAATAAAAACATAATTTATGATAAAATAGGTTGTTAGATAGGTATTAATATAAAGTTTCATAATATAATTTTTAAAATATATAATTTTTATTAATATTTAATTATATAAAATAAAGTCAAATTAGTGCATTGATATGTGTGCAAAGTTGACTGTGTCAGATATTTTGGGACATAGGGAATATTTAACAGATACATTGTTAACGTACAACTTTTACATTAAATTTAATACTTCCTTCGTTTTTTTTATAGTTGTAACAGTTTGACTTTTAAATTATTCATGTGTTCCACTTCGACTAGCTTTAATGATTTATAGCCATGCAAAAATATAGTCATGTGAGATCTTGTTAGATTCGTCTTAATTTATACTATTTTAATATCAAATGTTTATAATTTTCATACGTGAAAAAAAAAAAGTGTTGCAACTATTAAAAAAAAACTTCGAATACAATTATATATTAATAAATTATATGTAAGAAATTATTTTTGAAAATATGCATTGGGATTTGATAGTGACCCAACAACATATTAGTCCATATACACAATCATTTGATACTTACTCAGTAAATGTTATACGAAGTAGAGTATAAAAAAATAAATATTTTCTTCGATTTTTCACAGTATTTAAGTAAAATAGGTCTCACATGAATTAATACACTTAAAATGAAGGTGAAAAATTTTTTAGGAATATAATTTAGTGAACCATAAGATCAAAATAAGGGTATAGTACAACTTTTAACAAAAAAATCTTGCCAAATATAATATATTATAAGTATTATGACATTTTTAATTTAGAAAAAGTGTTCTAAGTATCTATATTAACCTATACTAAAAACAAATCCTTTTATGACACTTGTCATTACCTTGTGAAAATTTTTCCCACCTTTTTCGCTTCTTTTTTTTTTTTAATTTTTTTTGCAAAATTTTTAAGTAAACTATTTATACTTTATGTATTTTTTTTCCACTTTGACAATCATATTTCATATATAACCAAGTAAAAAATTTCTGAATATCTTTTATATTCTTTATATTTTGTAATATTATTGTCAAAAATTTAACAATAGTGCATTACACATAATTATAACCTAGTTAAAAAATAAAAGAAAATTACGATTATACAGAAACGATAATGAAATATTATTATGGACTAATACTAGTTTTTCACCATCAGACAATCTTCCACGTGGCTTACACTCAGCTGATACGTCTTAATTCTTTTTCCCGTTGCCTACTCCAAATATAAATATCAATTCTCCCCCATTTCCTTCTCACTCCACACTGCTCCCCACTCCACTAAAGTAAACCACAAGCCACAACTTTCCACTATTACAAATTTCATTCAATTTTTTTTCCTTAAATTTCCAACCACTTTCTATTATTAGAAAGAAAGTAAGATCAACAATGGCAGACACCTCCAACGGTCGAAAATTGGTGGTGGAAATCTGCAATGCTAAAAACTTAATGCCAAAAGACGGCCAAGGAACCGCCAGTGCGTTCGTCATGGTAGATTTCGACGGCCAACGCCGTCGTACCAAGACAATTACACGAGATCTCAACCCGCAGTGGGATGAGAAGCTCGAGTTCGTTGTCCACAATGCGGAATCTATGGATTCAGAGGTATTAGAGCTTAACATTTATAATGATAAGAAGACAGGAAAACGGTCGAATTTTCTTGGGAAGGTTAAAATTGGTGGTGCTGCTTTTGCAAAATTAGGGTCGGAGAGTTTGATTTATTATCCGTTGGAAAAACGGAGCGTTTTTTCGCAGATTAAAGGAGAGATTGGGCTTAAGGTTTGGTATGAGGATCCACCTTCGTCGCCTGCTGCGGCGGAGGTTGAGAAGAAGGTGGAAGAGGAGGGGAAGAAGGCCGAGGTGGAGGAGAAGAAAGATGAGGAGAAAAAACCCGAGGTTGGGGACGAGATGAAAGAAGCCGAGGTTAAGGAAGGAGAGGGGAAGGATAATAAGGTTGACGTTAAGGAGCAGGAGAAGAAGCCGCAGGAGGAAAATCCACCTCCTGCGGCGAAGGATGAAGGTAATAAGGAAGGTGATCATCCACCTCCGCCTCCGCCGCCTGATCAGGCGGCAGAGGTGGTTAATCCGCCTGTTGCGGAGAATGTGAAGGTGGGAGTTAGTGAGAAGAAAAATATGGAAGTTTCTTTAGCTAGTGCTAGTGTGACTGGTGGTGGTAGTGGTTCAGCTATGAGGAGTGATCTTGAGGTACGGGCTATTTCGGGATCGGACCGAAGGCATGGAACTGGGTCTGATTTAGTAGACAGAATGCCGTTTCTTTATGTTCGAGTTATAAAGGCAAAGCTGTCGAGTTCAGAAGCGGAGTCATTGAGCTTTGCTAAGCTAGTAATTGGTACTCATAGTATCAAAACGACGTCGGAGAAGAATGGGAAGGATTGGGATCAGGTGTTTGCGTTTGATAAAGAAGGGTTAAATTCGAGTTCACTAGAAGTGTCAGTTTGGACAGTGAACAAGAAGGAAGAAAAAGAGGGTGTGAAAATTGAGGAGAAATCACTCGGAACGGTGTCGTTTGATTTACAAGAGGTACCGAAGCGTGTACCACCTGATAGTCCTTTAGCGCCTCAGTGGTACACTCTAGAAGGTTCGGAAGGTACGGTTGTTGATGTGATGGTCGCGGTTTGGATTGGGACCCAAACCGACGAGGCGTTTCAGGAGGCTTGGCAATCGGATTCGGGTGGGTTGATTGCGGCGACCCGAGCCAAGGTTTATTTGTCTCCAAAATTGTGGTATTTGCGTGTAACGGTTATCCAAACCCAAGATTTGCAATTAGGTTCGGGATCATCCGAACCAAAAAGCCGAACTCCTGATCTTTATGTTAAGGCTCAGCTTGGTGGTCAGGTCTTTAAGACGGGTCGGATGACGTTGGGGTCCACTAGTCCTACGTGGAATGAGGACTTGGTGTTTGTGGCTGCGGAGCCGTTTGATCCTTTTTTGGTGGTCACGGTTGATGATGTTACAAGTGGACAATCGGTCGGGTTTGCGAAGGTGCACGTGGCAAGTATCGAACGGAGGACGGATAATCGAGTCCAGCCTAAGTCAAGATGGTTCAATTTGGTTGGGGAGGATGAGAAGAGCAAGCCATATGCTGGGAGAATACACTTGAGAACTTGCATTGAAGGAGGGTATCATGTGCTTGATGAGGCGGCTCACGTGACTAGTGATGTCCGAGCCTCGGCTAAGCAACTAGCCAAACCTCCAATTGGTTTGCTCGAGGTTGGGATTCGAGGAGCCAATAATTTATTGCCCGTCAAAACTAGAGATGGTACTCGTGGTACCACGGATGCTTATGTCGTGGCTAAATACGGGCCTAAGTGGGTTCGTACACGAACCATACTTGACCGGTTTAACCCTCGATGGAACGAGCAGTATACGTGGGATGTATATGACCCGTGTACTGTTGTAACCATTGGGGTGTTTGATAATGGGCGGTACAGCAAAGATGAGACAAATAAACCCGGAAAAGATATTCGTATTGGGAAGTTAAGGTTGCGTTTGTCAGCCCTTGATGCAAACCGGGTTTATTTGAACACGTATCCACTTACGGTATTGCTTCCGGGTGGGGCGCGAAGGATGGGTGAGATTGAGATAAGTCTAAGGTTTACTTGCTCATCATGGATTAGTCTACTTCAGGCATATTCAAGTCCAATGTTGCCTAGAATGCACTATGTCTGTCCATTAGGCCGAGCCCAACAAGACATCTTGCGCCACACAGCGATGAGAATCGTTACTGCTAGGCTAGCTCGGTCCGAGCCACCTCTGGGCCTTGAAGTAGTCCAATACATGCTTGATTCAGATACTCACATTTGGAGCATGAGGAAGAGCAAGGTCAATTGGTTTAGAGTGGTCAGTGGGCTATCTAAAGTAGCCACTTTGGCTCGGTGGCTCAATGGGATACGAACTTGGGCTCACACACCAACAACCATCTTGGTCCACATTGTACTCATAGCTATTGTAGTCTGCCCACACCTTGTGCTACCAACATTTTTCATGTATGCTTTCCTAATCCTAGCCTTCCGTATTAGGTACCGTGCCAAGGTCCCTCTTAGCATGGACCCTCGCATATCTTGTGTGGATGTAGTGTCCAACGACGAGCTTGATGAGGAGTTCGACGGGCTACCAACAACACGATCACACGATGTAGTTCGGGTCAGGTACGATAGGCTAAGGGCCTTGGCAGGAAGAGCCCAATCATTTTTGGGGGACATGGCAGCCCAATGGGAAAGAGTGGAAGCCTTGTACAATTGGAGGGATCCAAGAGCAACAGGGATATTTTTGGTATTCTGCTTGATCGCGTCAATAGCATTTTACGTGGTACCCTTTAAGGCTTTTGTGTTGGGTTCAACATTCTATTACTTGAGACATCCCAAGTTTAGGGGTGACATGCCGTCGGTTCCCGCCAACTTTTTCCGGCGTCTACCCTCACTTTCCGATCAGATTCTGTGATTTTGTACTGGGGCCAAGGTTGGGGGGGGGGGGTGGGGGATGTGGAGTTAAAGGTTATTTTGTTAAGGACTTAAGGGGTGCACTTTCCTGGTGTATTAGATAATGTTACTTCATGATTTTGTCGACTTAATGAAGGATCTACCTTTTTTTTTTAATTCTTTTAACAAGAATTGTTCAAAGTTATTAATTTACTTGTATATTTATTTTGTATTCTTTTGATTTGGGACACTGAAATGCGCAGCATTTAAATTGTAAATTAAAGAAAGTGGGCAATCTAGGCATTGAGCAATGCAATTTAATGGGAAAAGATGAGGGAATTTAATTTTGGCAGTCGGTTAAATGTTACCGTTTGAGATTTTATTAATCAACTATCATAAAATTGAATATTCTCAGGAGAAAAACAGAAAACAATACAGAGCTCTGAATATGATCATGTACATGGTCTGTGATCTTACAAGTAATTTGCAGGAAGTTGTTAATTGTTATTCTTGAAAACTATACTTGGTCTAACATTCTTCTTTTTATCGTTAAAATGAATAGTTGTTCAGAAAATCAGATGCAAAAATGTATAATGAGATTAATACTGCTGTTCTGAATTTGGTCGTCAAGTTACTACTAACTTAAGCTGGAGCTTGAGTCACATTCCATCATAGAACACTTCTTTCAAACTATAATATTCATAACTGAGCTATGCAGACTGCGGTGTTCCTGAAACTCTTCATTCGTAATGTAATTTAAGCAACTCATGTCACTTATACAGTTGATTAATCACTCTCATTATCATCGACATATTGTTATCTTCTATAGACTCTTGCAGCTTTACATCCTTGCTAATCAGTATGTTAAACATAGCTCTCCAATTATATTCGAGGAATACACATCATCACAAAACTATAAGATTGATTGCTTTACTATAAGATTGATTATTCCACAAAAATACTTCTATAGTACCATTTACTATTCTTAACTGAATTAAGTAATCAAAATTATTGTACATACACAAATTGAATCACAAAACAAATAATTGGTGGTGGTGTCTCATCTACACCAATGTTTACTAGATTTCCTAGCAGAAACCAATTTTGTTAACAAAGTTTTAAGTCTTCTGGAACCAGCACCAGGTTTCAAAACACCATAATTCTCAGCTTTTAACCCTGAGCAACTGTCCTGTCCTCCATCAGTCCCCCCACACCACCCACCATAGCTAAATGTATCATGCCACTTAATCCTCTTGAGAATTTCTCGATCAATTTTGTCCAGAACGCGATCATTTTTCTTGAACTTCCTAGCAAATGGTCGGTTACTAAGGACCATTCTACGGAAATCCTTGAGACCAAGTGATCTCGGATGCTGCTTAGGAGGGTTATCCCAACTGATATAGTGTAAGTCATGATTAATTGTAGTGTTCTTGTAGTCCTGAGAGTTGCATATGACTGTTTGGAAGTAGCCCTCCGGCGAGGAGACAAAGTTGGTGTAATAGAGCAGTAGTGTCCTTGGAAGATTTTCCCATCCTACTATGCAATACTCAGCAAAGGACCTTGATAAAACTGTCCAAGCAGAGCCTGTAACATGAAGAAATAAATAATTACAAAAACAAAAAGATTAGAGAGAAACATGATTAAAAGAATAGAATCTAACATCTTAATATATTAATAATGAACCGACCATTTGATAATTACAAATGATATTAATAATAAACTGACTATTCAAGTATGATTATACATTATAAAATACATTTAACAAAATTTCAGAACTCAAGTACTGTTGGTACAATATTACAATCCACAATGCATGTGCATCAATGTTAGAGTTAGCATGTGCATCATCTAGATTATCTAGCCCAAACTGCATCTGTTGGCCATAATTTAATTTTAGAGATTAGTTATAATTTAGATGAATTATGACATAACAGAACATTTTAGCAACTGACAGAACAGATTACTTTTGCTGTGAGTCAGCTACTTATACTTTTGACAATGATCTGATCTGAGGATCTAATACACAAAACAGAGTATAATAACATATCTTTTCACTTTACCAAGGAGAAAGAAATCTTTAACAAAGATTAGCTTTTCCAAAACATTACAGTACTCAGTAAATGTTTGCCATGGTAATCAGTGGGAAACTACTAAGGTGCATGGGGTGTTGGTCGACACCACCCCGTTGAAAATTAAAACTACCCATAAAATCTGTTTCTTTTTCTTAGATAATTCTTATAAACTTATAGTTATATGCAGTAATTTATGGTCTTTAACATACCATGGATATAATATCAACATCCTATCTTCAAAAATCTAGCTCTGCCCTCACTGTATAACTGATATAGGCATATAGCTTAGGCATGAACTAGATGTTCACTCTCGAAGTATAACGAGTTAATGACAAGCTTTCGATATAATTATCAAGAATAATAACAAGGCTCATATGTTTTGATGGAAAACATTCTTGTGAAAACAATTTTCCTTTATCATTTCTAATGTTATTTGGTTTGGTTTGTATTTTTTTTATTACAACATTTGGTTTAGTTGGTAAAAGGTGGAATATATTTTTCTCAAGATGGAAAATAGTTTTTCTAATAGCGGAAAACATTTTCATTTTAAGATTTGAGCTTATTAGTTATAGATTAAGCATCTAAATTAAATAAAAAAAAATAAAAAAATAAAATAAGGACACTATTCTCCTTTTTTCACTCACTACTTAATTATAGAATATCTATATATTAAAGCGGCAAAGACGGCAAAAAAAAGCTCCTAGGTAAAGTTTATATTAGTATATTGAAAGTATTAGATCTATGTATAGCATTATCCATACTAGAGTATACATGTGCTAATGCACGAGAATGAGGCTTTATTTTCTTATGGGTTTTGGTATTTTGGAGTGGTGTAACTGTTGTATAGATGGACTTTTCAAATAAGTAGGTCAAGTCAAAGGCATAGAGCATATAGTAGTACAAGGGTAATTATAGTTTAATCAAATGTTAAATCAATTGATGCAAAGTAGATAAGTAGTTTAGACTTGAAATCATAAGTGGTTGATCATGAATAATTAATCAAATCAGGACCAAAAATTTAATCATCAACACATGTCACTGTCACTTTGAATCTCAGCAACAACTTATTATTCAATTCGTAAATAATTTTTAAAACCAAGAAAATTGACTGGATCAAAAATATAATTAATAATGTACTTGTAACATTTTTTAATGTGATATACAAAATGGATGCACTCAAGAAGACATATTTTAACATAATGATGAACACTATGTACTCGTAAAAGGTTTACCCTTGAACCCCTTCTATCATTTTATGGCCTACCACATCACCACTAAGAAAAATAGTATAAATATCTTGTCCACTTTACATGGTCCTTGCTCGAAAGATAGCTGAATCAGAGACTTTTTAAGAACGTAGATCTCGAAATTTATTCTACTAAATTTGCTTGGGACAACTCGAGAACCATAGTTGGTAGAAATCGAACTTGTGACATTAGATAAATGACCACCACGTACATGCGTGGATTTTGGGTGTTAAGCTAGTTAAGCTAGTAATACAATTATGCAAAGAAGTCAATTCTATATAGTAAGAGGCCATTAAAGTTAGCTCACTTATAGCGTTTTGATGGGTCATTCATGTGAATTTAAGGACGATTCAAAGGGCACATGATTCCCTTCAATCACTTGTACACTTTGCGTGTATTCTCTTTCTAAACTTCACACGCAAATACTTTTTATCAAAAAAAAAATTGCCCCAACAAAAATTATACGTATTGATAATAATAATAATAATGATAATAATAATAATAATCAAAATCACTAAATTTTACAATGATTAATAAAGTCACTTTATACTAGTATTACACACTACTTTAAGACAGAAAAAATGTGTAATAGAGTAGTTTATTTTTATTTAAGTGTCAATCGATGCCCCATGCACCTTAGTGATTTTTCCACGACCTACATCTAATGGAAATTCTAAAGGAAAAAAGAAAGATAATGTTTAAATGAAATAAAGTAAAAGGAAGTATAATTCAGAAAAATGGGAGTAAGTCTTAAGAAAAAGAAGGGAGCACCTCAATAACTATAAATATGATATAATTTGAAATTAATTAGATAAAAAAAAATTAGAGGGTAATTAACCTGTGAACAACTTGAAGGAACTAGGTAGACCCCTTTGCTTAACAGCCCACCAAACCTGTGATTTATTTAGACTGTATAAAGCCGGATCAATTATCACTGGCTTTCCCCTTTTATTCCTGAAATAATATTTTACCATTCAATATTATTATAATTATAGTATTATTTACAATACACTTTTATGGATTTTAACCACCGACAAATCACTAGTAAGAAAAAAAAAACACTTACAATTTCCAACCCAGCCGACTGGAATGCTGTACAAAATTTGAATCTCTTGGTACGTCAGAAAAGGCATGAATTAAATCTGCCGAAAATTAAAAAAAAAAAAAATCAACATCCACAAGTCAACGACCTAAATTTTGAAACTAGTTTAGATTACACACGTGACTACTAATTGAAGAAGTACTCGAGGCTAGTGTCCTGTACCTCGTTTTGAATGGAAAAAATATATAAAAAAAATTGAAAAAGAAAAAAAAAAAAAAAAAAAAAAAAAAAAGGTCACTCACCATACCATCTTGAGTAACCAAAGGATAATCAGAGGCACTGAGATTAATAAACCAATCCCATTGGCAAGTCTTTAGAAGAATGGAAATGGCATGTAATGTAGCAGAAAGCATAGTGGGACCTCTATAAGTAACTAGATTTGGTTTACCAATAATCCAAACATTTCCAACTTGAGAAAAAACTTCATTCTTTGATACAAATTCTGCAACTTCTAAATGCTGTGATTTCGGAGCTCCATAATCAAAATGGATCAAGTAGTAATTACCCGGATGATAAAGTGCAAGTAATGTGCGCTTTAACTTAAGAACGTCGTTTGTTGATGCTGAGATCAAGTATGCAAATGTGACAGGATAAGTTTTGGTAATATTGGGTTTTATGACTAATTTGAAGGAATTATTAGTGGGTATAATTGTGGGTTTTGTTAATATGGTTAAGATGTAAACAAGGAAGATTATGATTGATGATAAAATGAGGGTTAGCATTAATTTTTTGGTACCCATTATTAGAATTAATTAATGGGATTTTTTTGGGTATAATAACATAAGGGAGAATAATGAAGAAGAACAGTGGATTTATGTAGTGTAGAAAGAAAAAAGTCAGGTTTTTCTGGTAATAAAGAGATAAAGGGTATGTTTGAAATTTAGGGGAAGTTTTTTGGTTAATTATTTGAAAATTTGGAGGTGGAAGAGTGTAGATTTAGAACTTTTGGTGGGGGGATTATTCTTTGCTTGGATGTTAAGGCCTCCATCTGTCAATTCAGACATGGTTGACATATATTTATTAGCATTGTTGAATCTTGAATGTCTACTACCAACAACAACAAATCACAAATGGTTGCCTTTATTTGTTGAGGTTCGGGTGGGTGGATTTATAACTCATCATGGGTAATTGGGTGCATACCAAACTTACTTCTTTGAGATAAAATTTCTCTAATCTAATTTGGTGGGATCTAATTTTTAAATTTGACTAAGTTTTGATCTTATTTGTACACAAATTTTTTAAGATAAAAAAAATATATGCTAGTATATATTTTATCAAACGAGATATCATTAGATTGCTCTCGCTTAACAGATTAAAGGTAGCTGAGTGAATAGGAAATAAAGTGAAGTTGCAGGATCTCGAATGGATTGGCTTATTCGAAAACAGCCATGAGATGTCATTAGATTCATATTAACATGAATTTTTTTTTATTTTAGCAATTACATAGATAAAGATGTTTTAGCGATAAGTAAACACAAATAAAAAGATATGATCTGATTTAGTTTGATCTAATTTGATATGAACATTTATAATATGATATAAGTAGATTTATACTTATATATAGAGTATTAAAAAACAACTAACATTATTAAGGAAGTCAATGTGTCCACTTCACGCTCTTCATCATTCATTGTTTTTCATTTTATTTCATGTCATTAACTTACATTTATAAGATTGTAATTGACATTGTAGACTAAAAATGTCTCCCCTTTTAATTAGTACCCCATGACAAAATCCCATTTGTTAAGCCTCGAATGCAACCCAAATCTCAAAAGACCTCAAAAACCCTTTTATAGCCCATGTCAAGGCCTCATGCCAAGTCAAACCCACAATACCAAAGTCAAACTTTCAAAACTCTATCCAATCTTGCAAAAATTTGCCAACACACCTATGCAGAGCAAATTGCACTCCTCTCCTTCATAATGATGTAATCTTGTTGTTTTTCATTTTTGAATCACCTATAAAATGTTCACTTTTGTATCTGTAACTGTTCACGTGTCATTAAAAGTTCAGTCATATTGATGCAACATGGAATATTCCATTTATTATGTTTTTTATTTGTATTAGACTTTTTTTATTTTTTGTTATCATTATTAATTACTCTTATTGTTTAGGCTATGTTTGGCAACACTAATCAAAATAAGATTGAAGCTTGAGTTAACAAAAATACAAAGGGTAGTAGTTGAAATAAGGTGCTGAAACTGATAAAGGTAGCTAACTAATTTTGGTGTTTTGTAAAGTTTATTGTTGCAGGTGAAAAATTTACAATTTTTTTTATTTTTTTTTTTTTTTTTAAGAACAAATGGTAATAAAAAGATATTAAGTACTCCGTAAAATTTAAGGTTCTTAACTTGAGATGGTACTCAAACATCTCAATTCAAGTCCATTATTTCAGGGCGCTTTCCAACCACTTATAATATTTAAGATGTCTTAACATTTTAGCCCCTTATCTTTTTTTGGTGTCTAAAATGAGTTGTCAAACGAAACCTTAATTAATTTACAAAACTTTTTTTTTTTGAAATAATATATATATTGAGAGCCAACAACATATTACACAATAAATAAAATTAGATTTTTATACATAAGTAAACAAAAAGTATAATCAAAGTAAAAATAAAATGATGTCAATGCCAAACAGTTCGAGTGTTTATAAGCGAATGACTATTAATAATAACTTCTTCTTTTTTAAAGTATGTAATATTTTAAAGAAAAACTAATTTTTGGGCCCGGGCTATGCCCGAGTTATTATATGTACGTGTTTGTACATTAATAAACATTGTAATTTATGACTTAATTTTCTTGTAAGTAGGGATTTTGGCACGCGCTATGCGCGCTACAATTGGCCCTGATGAATTTGCATTGTATTTTATTATAATTAATTGCATATAGACCATAAATGTGTTAGATGTTGTAACCGTGCAATATTTTTCGAAACTTGAGTAGAGTTAATTTAGATTTAGTGAGGAAGTGACAAAAATTATCAAGTTCTAGAAAGGTAAATGTTTAGATTTAGAAATGAAAATGTTTGATATACTATCTTCTTTTTTTAAAGGCTGATGTAATACTACCTAGGATTAGCAAACATTTTTATGTAAGAAAAAAAGAGCTTCTTAAACTTATTAATAGGGGTAAGTATGTAAACAAACATTTTAAGGGGTATAAATGTCCTCACACTATTCATAAGAGCTCTCTCATACTTTTTAAAAGGTAGGGATTAAATTTGTTATTCATATTGTCATTTGCTATATATTATTATTTTGTATTCAAAAGATTGAATAAAAAATCACATAGCTTGGTGGTAAGGCACTTAGTTGTAAAATTAGAGGTTATGTGTTTAAATCTTATGCATAACTTTTTTTTTTATTTTTATTTTTATTTTTTATTATTATTATTATTATAAGTGCATGACATACAATGGAAAACAAAAGAAAGAGAGAGCCACGTGGCGTAAAGAATAGTTGAGTGGGTGACGTGACATAGTGAGAAGAGTCTATGCGACACATAGACGTTCTTAGAAACGTTTTTTAGTATAGATAGTATGGATATAGACAAATCCATACTATATGTTAAAAGGCCATCATAAGAAAGCATACCACATCATACACTAAAGCATCACATCATACCACTCAATCATATATAAATGAAAATTATTAAGGTTAATTAAAACACTTTCTATAGAGTTTGAACTCAAGTCATGACCTACAAGAATTAAGTTAAAAGTCTTACCATCATAGCCTTTTTTTTAATTATGTTTTATATTTAACTTAAATATATTTACAAAATAAGACCCTATTTTATTCACCTTATTTTTACTATACTAAAATTAATACGGAGTATTACTGAATTAACATTATTTTTTATTGAAAGTAAATTATTTTTGCTTAACTTAATTATTTTACTGATTAAAACTTTTTTTTTATTTACTGATTTCCTAGTTATATTTAAACTTTAAAGTTACTAATTAAAACTTTATTTTATTGAATTGGGCTTATTTTTGTTGCACTTAACTTATTTTTACTCTTAAATTATTTTTGCTGAATACTTTGAATAAGGTGAAAAGAATAAAGTCTAAAACTTTAATGATCTAAATTTTTATTTTGTATTTTTTTCCATTATCTCTTCACTTGTTTATTTGTTGATCTTCATTGCTTAATTTATATTTAGGAACTCAAATAATACAATATAATACGGAGTATTTAAACTAATATCTTAGGGCATTGCTTAGGTCACACGTAGTTTTACCATTAATTTTTTTACCAAAAAAAAAATCAAAGACACTAGTTAATTAATGGCACATGAGATGTTCTCGGAAAAAATTATTAAGATCACATGAGTCATACATTTAGATACATGGTTAGAGAGTGAGCAACACAAATCTTCAATGATCTCCAACAAGAGGAGTAATTTATTTACAAGGTTAATAAATTATTAATTTGTTTATATATAGAATTTTAAATAGAAATACAACACTTTAATAATCACTACTATGGACGATAATATATACTTTTAATAATTCCAAGTAAGGTTTATTATCTAATAATCCCAACTTTGATATGAGCTTGCCTCCAGTGGTCCCAATGACCGGTTACTTGCTATAAGGGTAAATATTTTTTTTTGTTTTCTAAAAGCCACGTGTCAGCCATGATTGGTCTTAATTTTTTTTTCAAAAAAATAATAAAACCAAAAATCATTCCCAGCCACCCTTCCCCCTTCCCCTACCGTGAGTCCGTGAAACCCTAGGCATATCCCAAAAAACGGCCAGCCAGCCCTCCTAACACCCTAAACTACCTAGCAAATCCACCCCCACCCTCCCTTCCTTCCCCGCCTCGCGTTAGCTGCCCGCCATAACTCATACTCCGACCTCTGCACCGCCGTTTTAGGCGCTGCCGATCAACCCATACGTCGTTCCACCTTCGTTTCGACCTGCTAGTGCTCCTCCTCCGATGCTCATTTCTCATTTTACTCCATCCCTCAAAATCCTATTATACATCAATTAAATCATGGTGTTCCACCTGGAGTGAAATATGCTGTGGTCGGCTGTTTTCGAGGGTTAGGGGAGGCGTCCGGTCATTTTCAAGGGGTTATGGGAGGTTGCCGGCATGTTTCCGGTGGACTGGGGGATATGCTTAAGGTTTCACGGTTGGGGGGGGGGGGGAGGGGGGGAAGGGGGGAGGTGGTTGTTAAGGGTTTTGTTTTTTTATTTTATTTTTATTTTTTTAATTTTGGACCAATCACGTTGACACGTGTCATGGTTACCTACTATAATAAGTCGTTGACTTAGTGTTAACCGGTTGGGACCATTGGAGGCAAACACATAGCATAGTTAGGATTATTAGATAATAAACCTTAGTTAGGATTATTAAAAGTAAATCGTCAATAGTTGGGATTATTAAAATTTATTTTTTCTTTTAAATATTACATGCTGACATGATAAAAATATATAGATTTTTATACTCATTCGGTTAACTATTCAAAATGTGATACTAATTTGTCATCAAATTTTTTTAAAAACATTACACTTATATGGTCAAAGGCGTATTATATAATATTTTTATGGTTTATTTTGAAAAATACATGAAATAAGAAGAGCATAAATAAATAATTTGTTCACAGATTTTAGACAATTTTGCATTTAGTTTTTTTTAATTAGCATAGTATTAAATTTTAAATTACCATGCTTGGAACATGACCTAACCTAATGTTGATAATATTAATATTAATGAGCAATACGCCAAATATGACTCTGGGTGAATTGGAGCAAATTGGAATATTTTGTTAGGTAGTTTTCTAAAAGGATCCAAAGTGTTATACAAATACCTCCTATGTATTTGTATAACACTCTTTTGGTGCATAACTTCGAGAATATATATATCTTTAATACCTTTTAGAGTAATTCAAAAATATTGATAATTTAAAAGTATTTATCGAGACGAGAATAACAAAAATCTTGCGATCTGCATAATTATATATTTCCTCATTAATAATTAAGATTCATAAAACATGATTTAAGATCGCGTGTGAAATTGTAATTAGTTAAAAAGCCCAATTAGTGCAAATATTAAAAGGCGGAGAAAACATAAAAGGTGTTTTGAAAGTTAATAAGAACGAAAGTCTTTGGAAATAATTTGTTATTCATGTATTGCAAAAACTAACCTACAAGCAATAATTGAGAAGGACAAATTGATTCTAGTACATGTAACGACTCCTTGTCTTTGGCTGGGAAGGGTACATTTAGCTTGCCTTTGAGCACTTTTTTTTTCAAAAACAATAGCTTGAACTCTCTAATATTATCTTACTAAAGATACTTTAGGTGGTTGTGTTGTAGGTGGCATATTTTGTAATAGTGGCATCAACATCTTTTTGGAGGTGGTGGAGACATTTTTTGTGGTAGTTGGGTTAACAACGACACTGGATGTAAGAAAGGATGTAGATTTTTTAAGGGTGATGAACACAAGATGTGAGATAGCCCAC